GATTCAAGCTTAGGACCTTGTGACTGTCAGTCAGGCGCTGTGTCTGCAGAGCTATCTCCTCAGCCATGGGCGCTCTTTTATGGTGTTGATGTTTGCATAGCCAGTTTGTAAGATTTTAAGTTCCGAGGTAACCTGCCTGGAACGAGATCATGGAGGTGGATTATCAGATGCAGTTCTAGGGTCAGGACATTAGCAAACAGCAAGGATTTAATCCTGTCTTCCCAGAGACTTTGAGACTTTTTTTTTTTTAAGACAGAGTCTCACTGTGTATTTCAGGCTGGTCTTGGACTCACTCTGTAGCCCATACAGATCTCTAACACGACTGATCATACTGCCTCAACCTCCCAAGTGCTGAGATTACAGGCCTGCACCACCATTCTTGGCTGAGACTTCTGAATGGGAGCTCCCCAAGGAAGACTTTTAAGATGTTTCCAGGCAACAGAGAGAGCTGGATGGAGAGGGCAAAGCAGGTGAAGACAGAGAAGAATGAGTACTGGAAAGTTCTTCAGGATACATGGACCATGGTGAAGACCATAGTGAAACTGTAAGTGTCAGTGCAGCTGGAGTGACTGTGGCTAGACCAAGGAGTTTGGCTTTGGGGCTGGAGGGTTACATAAGGAGACCTCATTAATGGCTGTTATAGGAAGCCAGACAGTTACCAACCATCTACACACACTTAGGTGAAAGGACAGGCGAAGTTTCCAAAGCTCCTGGAAAGGGGACTGATGGCCTCAATTCACCCCCCAAAACCACAGGACCCTGCCCACATTATTGCTGCAGGTCTGTGGGACAGTCTATTTTTATCCCTATGAGGTGGCACAACTCTTGCATTCTTAAGGTTCTAGCTAAGTCAAATAATTAAACTGACCAACGGATTAACAAAGACAAAGCACAAATTTTAATGGAAGGTTTTTTGTTTGTTTGTTTGTTTTTTTTTGGTCTTTTTCCTTTTTATCGGTACCAGGGATCAAACTCACGATTGCCTGCTTGCAAGGCAGGCGCTTATGCCGCTGAGCTAAATCCCCAGCCCCTTTAATGGAAGTTTTACATGGTACAGAAGCCTCTTAAAGAAATGAAGTGCAGGGCTGGGGATTTAGCTCAGCGGCATAAGGGCCTGCCTTGCAAGCAGACAGTCGTGAGTTCGATCCCAGGTACCGATAAAAAGGAAAAAGACAAAAAAACAAAACAAACAAAGAAATGAAGTGCTAATGAAGTTAAAGGCAGTTACTTATACAGTAATCCCTTTTTATCTTTGGCTTCACATTCTATGGTTTAAATTACCTCTGGTCAACTGTGATCTGAAAATGTTTACATAGAAAATTCCAGCTTGGTGTGATGGTACATGCTTTAATCCCAGGGCTCAGGAAGCTGAGGCAGTAGGATCACCATTGATTTTGAGTTCAGCGTGAGCTACATAGTAAGTTCAGAGTCAGCAGCACTACGTAGCCAGATTGTGACTTAAAAAAGGCAAAACATAATTCCAGAGAAAAGCAAATAAAAGGATATTGGTCATTATCTCATTAAAGTAGTCTGTTTAACATGAGAATAGTTCAGTCCTGCTAAGTACTTGATTGTCATTATTAGAAATGATGTTTAGGTAGGCTCCCATCTAAGGCCTCTGAATGGCGTGAAACATATTAGTATTTAATGAGAGACATATTTACAGAAATAAAAGAAAGAGATTAATAGCTGGAGCCAATATAAACTCAGTTTTGAGTCCAAAGTACCATCATTTGAGAAGGTTTAGGTTTGCAGTATTTCTGAGGCAGGATGTGATAATGTTTTTTTTTTTTGTCTTTTTCCTTGTATCAGTACTGGGGATCGAACTCACGACTGCCTGCTTGCAAGGCAGGCGCTTATGCCGCTGAGCTAAATCCCCCAAGGATGTGATAATGTTGATAAATTTCCTAGTTTGTAGTTTGACTATTTCTGATGATGTCATTGGGTTTTTGGGTAAACTTTTCAAGAGACTTATATAAAAATGGGCACGAAGGATGTCCATACATGACCTGTTGTGATTTCCCTGAAGTTTGTATCAATTTGTTAAGCTTTCATTCAGATTCAGGAAAATGGGCATTTAGCTCAGACCTTCAGGAAAATGGAAGTCTTAATTTTGTTTGTGTTTTGGCTAAGATAGGTCCTAAGTATGTTGCCCAGGCTCATCTACAACTTCTCAGCTCAAGTGATCCTTTATCTGTACCTCCAGAACAGGGATACCAGGCTTGTCTTAAGTATATTCACTAGTTGCACACCACCATAATCAATTTTAGAACATTTTTATCATCTGCAAAAGAAATCTATATTGTTGGCTGTCAATCCCTTATTGATCTGTCCCCCTATCACTAGACCACTTGTAATTTATTTTTGTCCCTTTAGATTTACCTATTCTGGATATTTCATATAAACAGAATCATAAAATATGTAGCCTTGTAATTGGTTCCGTTAATACAGAATACTTCCTCTGTTCTGTTCTGTTTTGTTTTGTTTGAGGCTGGTTTTGAACTCACTATTTAAGTCAGGCTAATCAAATTTGCAGTGATCTTTTTGCCTTAGACTCCCCTGTGCTGGAAATACAGGTGTACATCACCATGCCCAGTATCATGTAGTATATTTTAAAATTTGATCCACATATCAGTACTTTTCCTTTTTTTTTTAAGTATTGGGTATGGTGGCACATGCCTGTGATCCCAGAACTCAGGAGGCTGAGCCAGGAGGCTTGCCATCAATTCAAGGCTAGCCTAAATTACAGTTTTCACCCTGTCTCAAAAAAAGAAAAAAAAAATGCCAGGTGTGGTGGCTCACAACTGTAATCCCAGCACTTGGGAGGCTGAGACAGGAGGATTGTTGTGAGTTCGAAACCAGCCTAGGCTACAAAGTGAGCTCAAGGCCAGCCTGAACTGCATAGTGAAACCCTATCTCAAAAAGACAGAAAAAAAATTAGCATTATTAGGATATAATTTATATACCCTAAAATTTTCTCATTCATAGTTCTGTGTACAAGTTAATTATTTTTAGTATATTCATAGTAACACAACTATCACCATAATAAATTTTAAAACATTTTTTCACCCTATATTTTATCCCTCTTATTGCTGAGTAAGAGTCCATTGTTTAGACATACCACATCATGTTTATCCATTGGTGAGCACCTACTTTTTTGGCTGTTCTGAAGAGTGCTGCTATGAACATTTATGTATACATTTTAAGGTACATATATTTTTTCATTTCTTTTTACTGTATACCTAGGGGTGAAATTACTGGGTCATACAGTTATGATTAACTTTTTGATGTGGCACTAGAAAAACCACATGATATTTGTATCTTGATGTCTTACCTAACATTAATCATGTATGTTTTCATGAAATGTTCAATATTCTTTGAGTATGTGGTTTTTAATACTGGCAGAATTCAGACCAGGTGTTGTGGCACATGACTGTTATCCCAGTATTCAGGAGGGTGAGGCAGGAGGATCACCACAAATTTAAGGTCAGGTTATGCCACATAATGAGTTCAAGACCAGCATGAACTACGTAGTGAGACCCTGTCTCAAAACAAAACAAAACAAAACTACTAGCAGAATTCAAAACCTTAGTTTTTGAACATTTACCTTACTTCCTGTTGTAGCCCCCACACAAAGACCCCCCCCCATGAAAAACGGGGCAAGACTACGTCTTTTTTAAAAGAAGCCATTTTATTTTAGTTGGCCCAGCGACACAATGCAGATGGAATTTGCAAAGCTGTGCAACTGAGTTAGAATTTTGACTGACTTTTATAGTTCATTTATGATTAGCTCATTGATTATTAAGTATATAGGGATGAGAAACAGAAACAAGGTGGGCCTTTGTTCCCCTTTGCTTGAGATCAGAGGCATTTCACAGTGGGTGCCTAGCCAGTTCATAGCCCTTGGTCTGCCAATTCCAGGAACATTTGTCTCTCATAAAGGCAACAATGGTTGACAAAGCATCATTTGTATCTTACAAAGGGAACAAAGGTTGACACAACAAACAGGTTACTGGGGTGGTGGGGGAGGACCATACAGAACAGCATGACAACGCAGCCAGTTAATCTATAACTGTGTGGTTGGTGCTTGTGTAAGAATTTTGGCCCAGACGAGACACTGTAGCAGGTAAAGCCTTGGAGGTGGAACCAAGGAGCTTTATCTTCCCCGCCCCTAGGAATTTGCCTGTGGCATGAAATGAATACCAATGGGCTACCTGTGTATTCCTAATGCCCCATAGGCACCACCCCAAACCTAAGCTACATGTATGCCCCCACACTGTGTGTATGGCAGAGAGAAAGCCAGACTCCAGTGGTGGTGGTGGTGGGGTTGTTTTTCTCTCTCCCCATTCTCAGAATAAAGGCCTCTTTTATTTTATACTTCTCATCTTTTGGATGCACCACAATCTTATCACTTGGTTACTAGGGTAACAAGCTCAGCACAGAATGACAATACTGCTAATAACTATCCTTTTAACTATTTTTGCTAATAACTATCTTCTAATTGACTTTTAATTTTTCAGCATCTTAGTACAACATTTCCAATTTTCATTGCATTCCAGGGCATATTTTCAGGCATCAATCTTTTTTTTTTTTCAGGCATCAATCTTTTTATGAATCTGATTATTTCTATGGAGCAGGTTAATTAAAAGACTAGATCAAAGGGCACAGGTAGTTTTAGGGTTGAGTGCATAATGATAAATTGCTTTCCAAGGAAAGTTGTGACAATTTTCATTCTTGCAAGTAGAGTTTGAGAATGCTAGGTGTATGGCTCCTCATATTTTGTGTATGATGATCACCAAACCATGAGCATCAGAAGCATGAAGATGTCTTTGGCCCTGCATCCAGATTGTTGTGTAGGGTTTGTATTATGCAAATAAGTGGTAGCAAGTAGAGGTCTAGATTACTGCAAAGGCCACGGGACAGAGGAAAACACATGTACCGTGAGTTAAATGGCCCCACATGGAACCTGAAACTTACTGGAGGAAATGAGGAAGCCACAGTCCAAAGTCATTTAGGTGCAGATCCTTGTGGGTACTGTCTGAAGACTGGCAACAACTCTTTTATATGCCACTCTCTCTGAGCACCCTTCTTTATGCATAGCCCTGGAAGAATTACCTTCACCGAGCTGGCAAGGTCATCAAACTTTCTGTTTACCTCGATATCCTAAGAAGAAACCCATCACAAGGCAGTGTATGAATACTTTCTGATAAGTTGCTTATTTTTGTGTACACACACAATATTAAAGAAGCCTCTTTGGGCATTTCCCTCCTGTGCATGACAATCTCATACTACCTACCCTATTAAAACAGAGAAGAAATGGGAGTCAAAGGGAGGTTTGGGGGGGTGCTCTATTGATCTGGGGATCCTTTATATAGGTATATGCTATTTGTAATCTAACCTCAATCTATGTGCACTTTTTAGCATGCTAATTAAATTAGTAAGTCAAAAACAAAGGGATTGAGGACAAGAGAACTAGAACTTAAATATATTCTTGTGATATCTCTTTCCATTAGTCCAAAGCCGGTAATTAGCTTGCCTTGACCATATCCCTTCTGCCTCAGCAGAATCTTTCTCTGAAAGTTGTTCTATAGGGGCTAACATAAAAAATAAAAAATAGTATTATTTGAATATAATTTATACACATATTTTCAAGTAATTTATTATTATTTGAAATGGGGAGGGTCTCACTATGTTACCCAGGTTGGCGTTGAACTCCTGAGCTCAGGTAATCTACCTGCCTCAGCCACCTGAGTAGGTGAGACTACAGGTATACACCACCATACCTGGCTCTCTTTCATCTTCATAATGCCCCTGGGAGGTGTTTGTCAGACTCACTTCAAATATAGACAAGGCTGAACCCTATGAAGAGTTTGACTTGAACTATAAGGATTCATAGCATATCCCTCAAGGCTCAGGATAACATCTGGGCTAGTCATCTTAGACTAATGATTAACATTTAAAGAATAGAAACTAAGGGGCTGGGGATTTAGCTCAGCGGCATATGCGCCTGCCTTGCAAGCAGACAGTTGTGAGTTCGATCCCCGGTACCGATAAAAAAGAAAAAAAAAATAGAAACTAGAACATTAGATGTAGGTTACTGGTGATGATTCTCTGGTTAAGAATTTTTTTTTTTTTTGTACTGGGGATCAGACTTATGACCTTGTACTTTCCAGGCAGGTGCTGTGCTGCTGAGCTCTATCTCCAGCCCTGTTTCAGATTTTTGTGCAATATTTCACATTAATGAACCCAGGATTTGGTCTCAGGCTAGAACTGACTCCAAAGCCCGGTATTCCTGTTATACTACAGGTCTCAGCTAATACCGATGCATTGTACTGAATAAACGTGTACTTTAACAGGAGAGCTTCATATCCCACCCCACCTCCGCCTTTTTAAAGAATAGTATACAATGCTGACAAGCATTTTCAAAGCAGAAGAGGTGTAGCATGCTAATTGCTGGCTTTGGGCTAATGAAGAGATCAGTTGTCCCAAAATCTGAAAGATGTGGGATACATCTCTAGAAAGCCTATGACTCAAGTCTGGATTGAAATAAATCAAAGTTTAGCTCAGCATTTCTTTTAGTAATTTATATTTTTGAGGTTTGGGGTCGTAGCTTAGTGGTAGAGTGCTTGCCTACATGTGTTACATCCCAAGTATCACACATATACAAAAAATTCTAAGATTCTCAGCTTGCACATGCCATAATCCTAGTACTTGAGAGGATAAGGCCTCATATGAGGCCACCTTGGGCTACACAGTGAGTTCAAGACTGACCTGAACTGTATGTAGTGAGACCTTATCTCAAAAACAAAATATCAACACAAGTTTCTCTCATTCTTAGAAAAGAGTGACTTTTTCTGTATTAAAAAGGCAACACTGAACGAAAAGGAGTCCTAACCTCCCCTACAATTATACACATGAATCTCCCAGTGCCAGAATCTACCTGTAGGTGGTTTAGGTCAGGGATGGGACAAGGGTGGAAGGCAACCCTGCAGGTGCTGAGCCAGCAGATCTAAACATAAGTGGACTATGAGCATCAAGCCCCTAACCTCCACCTCTTTCTCCTTCAGCCATTGAAAAACTCAGGCAGGGGCACAGTGTGAGAGAGATCATAGCAAAGCTACCAGCCCAGAGTGGAAGCAGAGCTGGAGCTGTCTCACGACCTACATTTAGGCCTGGATTGGAACACTGACCATAGCACATGCTGTACCTGGGCAGGGCACTTTACTTCTGTAATCCTCACTTTCTGCGTCTAAAATAGAGATGATAGAAGCTCACAGGGCTTTTGGTGGATCAGAGAGAAGGCTTATAAAAGCTCTTACAGAGATATCCAGCAGTTCGAGGGCAGATGCTGTGTTGTCCTGGACAGACTTGAGGAGACCAAAGCAGCCTTCACTTTGCATGGGATTCCTGGATACCTAAGAATGAAATAAACACAAAGAACTGAGAGGAGCCAAGCCTAGGGAGGTTAGAGAACAACACGCAAGGGAAGGTGTACTCCTTATCTCTGATGACATGGTTAATGTGGTTAGCCCCACCATCTTAGCTGATCAAGTATCTCCACAGGGCAGAGTAGGGTGGGTGAGGCTCCTTACTGGATTGAGGAAGAGAGGAAAGCTGGACACCCACCCCCTGCCTGACTCTGTGCTAGGTACCAAAGCTACAGACAAAATATAACTGGCCCTAATGAGCTTACCCACTAGAGAGAAGGAAGGAGAAGGAAACATCAAACTCAGTGTAATAAGTTCAATGAAAGTGTATACCAATTCCAGCTGGGAAGAGAGGACGGACAGTAAAACCCCAGAGCTAAGCTTTGTAGGTGAGGGTACCAGTATTTCAGCAAGGGTAACAGGAGCAAAAGCAGAGGTAGAAAATAGTACAGTATGTGTGTGTGTGTGTGTGTATGTAAAGAATTCTGAGCACCCAGGGATGACATTGGTGAACTTGTCAGAGTCCAGATGCCCCACCATGTGCTATGAGTAATGAACTATGAAGCTTGGATTTATCAGAAGCAACAGTAAAGCAGGAATGCCAGGGGCATGTTTCTGGCTTAGAAAGATTATCAGATAGCAGGTAGACAGGAAGGAGTAGGTCTGGAGTAACTAGGGGGTCAACACATCCCGGACGAGAGGCAGACAGAAAAGGGAGAAGTCAGCGACCTAAGTACTTTCAGGAGGTGAGAGACTGCGGAGGGCAGATGTGGGGAAGGGAAACAGTCCGGCTTCTGACCTGGCTCTCCTTGCCAAGAGACAGCCCTCAGGAAGAGGTAATGTATAAATAAATAGGTACCTGTTTAAAAATGCAATTTAAAAATAAGAAATTGAACAGAACTGTCTCCAGTTTCACTGTATGAATGTCCACTTTATATGCTTTAATTTTTGTAATTTGGACAACTGTTTCTGGGAAGATAATATGTAACCTATTAACTGGTGATTTTTTACTGTATATATTTTTTTGAAATGCTGTATTATTTGTACCCTTTTACTGCTTTGTTTATGTCCTTTTTTTTTCTCTTTAAATAAAAAAATAAAATAAAAATAAGAAATTTTTTAGTGATGCCACTCAGGTTGGACTTTCACAGCTCCTTGTGTTTTGGGGAGCATCCACCAGATGGCAGAAAATGTGAATCCAAGCTTGAGAAAGCTCTGGGTTCCCGCAGTGGGGTGGGGGTGGGGATAAATGAGAAGCAGTGGGGACCCTGGAGTTGGGGAGCTAAGGGCCAAGCACAGACAGATGCCAGCCGCATCCAGGCCTGTGTTGTTGGCACACAGTTCTCTAGCACCTCCTTCACTTTCACGTAGCTGCCTCCCTTGTCTGTCTCCTGCACTGTCCTGCTCTGTGGTTCCCTCTGTCCCACAACCCTGGAGGAGGGGAATAGTGCTGGGTACACAGTCCTCAGTAGGTCCGGGCAGTGGCCATCCACTATACCTAGGCCAGAGGAAAAGCAGGGAAGAAGACAAAGGCAACCCTAGAGGTGCTCGGGCCCCTTCAGCAAACATCACTCATGCAAGACAGCAAGGAATTGTGGGCCAGCTTCCGGGAGGGGGGGGGTAAGGAGTAGTCTGAAGCTTGGTGTGAGCCAGGTGGGATGTGAGAGAGTGAATAGCAGGGGAAGGAAGGGTCAAGAGAGGAACCTGGAGGCCCCTCCCATCAGAGCTGTGAGGCCTGTGTGTACTGCTGCGCATCCACTGCCTCTGGGGTGGGGGCTGCAGTGGGGAATGAATCTAGGGAAACGGGCAGAGATAGGGCAGTTATGTGCTGGGGCCTCCCCCTTACCCCCACCATAGGAGGTCAGCACTCACGACAAGAATCCTTAGTGTCTGGTTGACCCGGAGATCCATCCCCAGGCTTAGTGCTCCCGCAGCAAAGATGCGGTTATTGCTGCAACATAAAAGACCTGCATCATACTGAGATACAGAATCCATCAAGGTGTCCATCAACAGATGAAAATGTGGTATACATCCACAATGGAGTATGATCCAATCATAAAGAAGGATAAAATTCTATAGTTGCCATTCACATGGGGGACATTATATTAAGTGAAATAGGCCAAGCACAGAAAGACAAGACCAGAGTATTTTGGGCTGGGGTGTAGCTCAGTGGTGGAGTGTTTGCCTAGCATGCACATATCCCTAGGTTCAATCCCCACCCAGTATCCCCCAAAACAAAAATCCCTGCATAGTCTCTCTCATATGTGAAAATGAAAACTTAAAACTAAAACTAAACCTGGGGCCAGAGATATAGCAATGGCATAAGTTCCTGCCTGGCAAGTACAAGGTCTTGACTTTAATTTCCAGTGGCAAAACAAAACAAAACAAAACAAAAACCCTAAACCTAGGATAGTGATTATTAGAGACTGAAAAGGTTATGGGGAAGAGGGAGGGTGGAAAAAGGTTGAATTTGATTGGTGCACATTACACGACGATATGAAGACATCATACCAAACCCCATTAATATAGATAATAAATATGTATTTATTTTAAAAGGACTTACACATCTTGCAGCCTTCCAAACATTTTCTCAGGGCTGATTTCTCCAGAGCCCTTGCTGGAGTTGCTGTTCCATCCTACAAGTTGAGCTTCACATACTAGCTTTCCACTTTTCCCCATGTGTAAAGATACAATACTGCCTCATTGGTCCTCCTAGTGTTACAGGAGACCATGCAACAAACAGACCTAGAGTGTGCCTCCTCCTGGTAGAGGCCAGCTGCTACTCCCGGGACCTTTAAAATTCAGCAGGTGCTCCCATGTGTTCTACCCAGCTAGCACCTCATGCCTATCACCATGACGTCTGTTTTAGAATGTCACCCCTCTCCCTTTCCACATCCTTTCCTCCTCCTCCTTCTCCTTCTGCTGAACCCAAACCCTGGCCTCATCTCTGAGCCACTCTGTCTCCAGAACCAGTCCACTCCTTTCTGACTTCCTACATCCAGCTCTTTACCTCTTAAGGCTGCCTCTAGCCTTGGCTTTTCCCATGGGGAAGTAAAGTGAGCTGGACTGAATGGGGTCTCCCTGTCCACAGCGGCAGCCCCCTGGGGAGGCAATCCATCATCTTCCTGGCCTCACCTCTTTTCACTGTGCTCGCCCCTGGCCTATTATCTACCAAATCTCAAGACACTGCCTGGTCTCGAGAAGCACCCTATACAGAGCAGACTCCTAGTAGCCATGTGCTGACGAAAGCATACCCACAGGCCCACCTGCCAGACTCTGCCTTGTCCTATTCAGACTGGGCTGCACTGAGAGGGCTAAAAGCTCACACAAGGAACCCACCCTGCACCAGGCCCTCTGACCCTGCTTTGTACACTGGTCCATGATCTTCAGCCAGCTGCCTGCACCATACGAATGATAAATGTCAATATACAAGTTATGATCTTTTTTTTTTTTTCGCGTACTGTATATTGAACTCAGGATCTCTCCATGACTTGTATCCCCAGCTCATTTTTAAATTTTGGGATAGGGTCTCGCCTTTAGAATACTGGGATTACCTGGCTATAAGTGATCATTTTAAGAGAGATGGGCAGAGCTGGGTGCTCTGGGATTGTGGCTCAACTTCCATCCTGGAGACATTGTGGTAGGTTCAGAAATTAAATGGAATAGCAGTAAAATTATGGTGCTTCTGTCTCTGGGCAGGGTAATCCTGTGCTTCTCACCTCATGTTGAGTTCCTCCAATACATTGTTGACTTTCAGGGCCTCAGCCACAGCCAGTGCTCCAAGGTCACCAAAGCCATTGTATGAGATGTCCAGAACTTTCAGAAAGATGTTTGCCTAGAGCAAAAGAATGAAGCCATGGGACCACATCTGATGGGGGAGAAGGCCACAGCCTCAGAGCCTAAAAGAGGTCCAAAAGAGGAAGACAGATGTGGGTGTGAATGACCTCAGAAACCAGGCAGCAGCAGGCCACAGACACAGTGATAAGATCCACACCCCTGTGGGAGCATCTCAAGTGCAAGGAACCCTCAGACAAGGAGTAGTCCCAGGGGCCCAGGGGCCAATGAAAGGCTACTGGATGAAACCTCTCCTAGGGACTGCTATGGGGAGAAAGGTACATCCTCTGGCAAGACTGAACCTGTCTGCCACCCTGTGTGGCAGGGCACCCATGTCAGTCCTTGTTCAAACAGATGAGGCAATGGCTAGTTTATCCTGAGGGGGACCACATAAAATTAGTTGGCACTGGAGACACTGAAGATGCCGGGATACACTGGTAAAGCTTAGTTGCCGATTTCTAAAACTGCTTCATAACCCACAAGGGAGTAGGTCAGATGTTTGAGGCGCACTAGCATGCAAAGGTGCAAGGGTGTCATTTCAGGAGAGCGTGTGTGTGTGTGTGTGTGTGTGTGTGTGTGTGTGTGTGTGAACTGTAAGCACACCAGAAGCACAGATGTCCCTACCAGGTGTCTATGATGTCTGGAAAAGGTGTTTGACCTTCAGCTGTGGACCTTTTAGTAAATGATATGAGAGTGGACATAGTGTATCTAGTCATTAAATGAGGCCAATGAAATAAAAGTAACCTAAAGAAATATCCTTTACTCTCTGTTTAAAAGATCTAAGGTTCATTTCTGGAGAGCAACAAAGACAAGGAGCTGGCACCCAGGAGACCTGCCCCAGGGGCTGACTTGGTAGGGGTCTCATACCTCCAATCCCCTGGCAAATGCTATAGCTCCTGGGCCTCGGAGGTGATTCCAGCTTATGTCAAGTTCTGTGAGTCCTGTGTTTTCTGCCAGTGCGGGTCCAAGGGTCTCTCCTTCAAGAACACCAAGAGAGATCTTCTTATTTTGTTTATTACTTCAAATATAGATACTGATGTCACTGTATTCCAGGGACTCTGCAGGCAGGAGGGTCACATATATGAACTTGATATGAGCCTTCCCTCCCCTCAAGGAACCCACAATTAAAGGGGAAGATTTAATACAAATTAAATCATACAAATTAAATCTATGAGTTCCTACAAACAGAGAGGAGTGGGAACAGAATAGTGACCTTGGTGGGGTCAGAGAAGTAAGGAAAGGAGCTAAGTTTGAACTGAGAAATCCATCACACATTCCACACACATGATGGACAGTAGATGCAGGAAAGTGGAAGATGTGCAGGCATGTGTGGAAATACACTCATGTCTGAAGCTGTGAGAGGAGGGAGGAAGCAGAGGCAACGAGACAGGGAGCGAGGGGCACTTCTTTTTTTTTTTTTTTTTTTTGGTCTTCTTCCTTTTTATCGGTACCGGGGATCGAACTCACGACTGCCTGCTTGCAAGGCAGGCGCTCATGCCGCTGAGCTAAATCCCCAGCCCCGAGGGGCACTTCTTGAGAGAGGCTGAAAGACCTTGAATACTGTGCCAAAGGAGCTCAGGCATGAGGAATCAGGGAGGGCTTTAGAAGTGACAGGCTAGGGGCTGGGGGTTTAGCTCGGCTGCATAAGCGCCTGCCTTGCAAGCAGGCAGTTGTGAGTTCGATCCCCGGTACCGATAAAAAGGAAAAAGACCAAAAAAAGAAGTGACAGGCTGGGATTAGCATTTCAACAAAATTTCTAGTTGCTGGCAGGCATTGGTAGAGACAGTGGCTGGGTGACTCAGCAGCTGGGAAGGGCTTATACCATAGGTCAGAGAAGAAAAGACTGGCACAGTTATGGAGAGGAGGCAAGAGTGACAGTGAAAAGAAAGGGGTGGTATGGGAATCCCTGGGATAGTTAACATATAAAATGGGGAAGAATCCTACTCCCAAGCCTTTTCTCCGTTCTGTCAGCACAAGACAGTCTGACCTTCCATTGCTCCCGTGCTCCAGCACTAACATGCCTTCCAGCTGACATCCTACTTAGGAACTTGGAACTCTATTCTACACCTGGTCACAGCTCCTCATCTTTCCAATCTGGGTTCACAGGTCAGGAAGCCTTGCTTGCCTGGTCAAGACCTCTTCCAGACTCTAGCCATTAGATCTCTTTCTGCCTGGCTGGTCTTTGTTAGCAGTTTAGGACTCCCATAAGGATTGGATTTGAACTTTCTTCAAAATCCAAGCACCTAGCACAAATCTAGTAAGACTGGTTTAGAGAAATATATACAAGACAAGTGATTGAAAGCTGGTGTGGTGGTACATGCCTGTAATCCCAACACTTGGAAAGTTGAGGTAGGAGGGTCAATGCAAGCCTGGCTACATACTGAGTTCAAGGCCAGCCTGCACTGCAAAGTGATAAAGTGAGACCCTGTCTCAAAAGAAAAGAAAAGAAAAAAACAAAACAAAACAAAAAAACCTAATGGATTAACTGATCAGGGTGCTCAGGGTACCTACTCTGCTGGCTAGCACACACTGTAGCAGAAGCATCTAGCACCTTGGAGAGCTCCCTGAGCAGCAGCAAATACTTCTAGCACTGCTCCCCTCTCAGATCAGGACTCAAAGCCTAGGGATGGATTTGATGCCCTTATCTTGTCAGATGTGAGTACTTCCTCCTTCCTCAGGCACTGCTGGGGCTAAAAGGGAAGGGAATGGCTTCCCACTTCATGGAGCATCACTTTCTTTGCTGAGCAGCTAGAGGTTGAGGAAGTTTTCTTTCATAGGTCTCCAACGGCCAATCTTTGGTCTCTATGACCCCTGCGGTTATCCTGTAAGGTAGGTGATATTGATGCTATGGACTAGGTGAGAAATCTGAGACCCAAAATTCTTCACCCTGCAAGGGAGTCAGGCATACGCTCATATCTCCACTTGGAGAAAAAATGGATTGCCTGAATCTGTCCTTTCCCAGGGCTCACATTGCCTCGCTTGTATGTACTGTGTGTTTGCCCACTGTTGTAGGGTCTTAGCTTTTGGCTGCTCCACTCTGGGTGCCTGTCTGGCAATTGTTCATTGCTAGTTTATAAAATAATTTTTGAGATAGGGTCATGCTAAGTTGCTAAAGTCCCCAGGCTGGGTTTGGACTTGTTTCTCCTGCCTCTGCTTCCCAGAGTGCTGGGATTCAGGCATGCACCACCTTACCAAGCTTTATACTTGGTATTTAAGTGTCACTCAGAAGTTCATGGGTTACAGGCTTGATTCCTAGGGTGCACAATTAAAAAGTGGTGAAGTCTTTAGATGGAGTCTAGTGGGAGGTTTTTAGGTCATTGATTGTTTGGTGGGTTCTAGAAGAGGATTATGGGATTCCATTATCCCTTCTGTTCCCCAGCCATGAGTTGAACACCTTTGCTCTGCCATATGTTCCAGCCTTGCCACAGCCCCAAAACGATGTGGCAAATCCATCATGGACTTCAAAACCACAGGTCAAAATATTCCTTTTCTAAGTGAATCATCTTAGATAATAGTATAGTACTAGAAAACTAATACACCCTCTGACCTCAGCGTCTTAGAGAGACACCAGTGCTTAGCCTATCAAAGTCTGAAGTGAGCCTCTCCTTGAATTTCATTGGCTTTCCACAATAATTTCCCTAGAAGGCATATTGGCTCTGGTAGTTAAGCTCCAGGACCAATTTTCATTTGCCAAGGCGGGTGTCATCCCAATCACTCTAAGTGGCTTGAGACACCCAAAAATTCAAAAACTTTCCAGATCAGACAATTATTCTGGGATATCCACTAAAATGAACAAGTATGTGCATTCCTCCAAGAATTTGGTCCATCAGGTCCAATGGCCCAAGGATCTGTATTTCTAAACCCAGGTTTAGGAGATGATCTTCTTTCTCCTCTTCCTCCTTTTTGTGGTATTGGGGATATAACCCAGGACTTTATAGACCATAGGCATGTAGTCTACTGAGGGAGACAACTCCAGTGACTTCCTTTGAATCCAAAACTTTGAGTGTCTGGAGACTCATTTCCTTATACTGATATGTAAAAAGTTGGCTAGGGTATTTTCTTCTCTCTTCAATTGGCTATAAGATTGCAAATAAGGCCAGCCAAGGTGCTAATATGCAATATCTATAGCCAACAGACAGTCCTGTTTCCTTGCATAGTGTTCTCCACAACACAGGATTGAGCACTTGACATGGTAGAGTAAATAGCTCCAGGAATGTCATCTGGGTAGAAGCCTCAAGATAAGAGGCTATGACTCCCCAGGACACAAGAGTTTGCATATCAGAAACCAAAGCAATTGCCCCCAAAACAATTCCACTGCTACCTTAATTGGATTATGTAAATTGATCCTTCTGCATATCTTTGTCTCTGCAATTTACAGAGATGCCAATCTAACACCTGGCCAGACAGCTCAAATTACTCACATCCTGCCACCCTATCACCCATCTGAGCCACCCTCTTTCTTCACAAGATAATAAATGCTGGGAGAGGCCTAGGATCAAGGCCTTTGTCCACATGTCCTTATGGGGATTGGATTTAGGTAGGACCCCTTGGCTGCCATTAACTTGGAATATGTCTTGGTGTTTTTATTCTCACGATGGGTTGCATTGGTGGTTGTAGACTGGGATTAATTTGGTGGGATTCCGATAACATTTCAATAGGATTACAAATATAACTTTTTGGATTGTGAAGAAAACTAGAAAGAGGATTACAATACTTGGATGATTCAACTCGATATTTGGGTTTATAATAGTCTATCACTGAGTTACATCTTAACCCTTTTTTCTATAGTTGAGAATGCATTTTGCTAAGTTGCCCAGACTGGTCCCGAACTTGTGATTCTCATGTCTCAGTCTTCTGAGTAGCTAAGATTACAGGCATGTTCTACCATTTCTACCATGCCTGGCTCTTGTTTATTTTTGTTTTTGTTTTTGTTTTGAGACAGTTGCTGTGTACTTCAGGCTAGCCTCGAATTCACTATGTAGCCAAGGCTGGCCTCAAATTCACAACAATCCTCCTACCTTAGCCTTCTGAGTGCTGAAATTACAGGTGTGTGCCACTATGCCCAACCTGGCTTTTGTTTTTAAAAACAAGGACCTCACTATGTAGCTCAGGCTGACCTTGAACTAAGGGGCTCAAGCAATCCTTCTGCCACCCCAAACAGCTGGGACTATCTATAGGTGCATACAACTACGTACACCGTCTAGGTGATTCTCATAACCGACAGGAACAAGCACAGGTGGAAGTTCATATTCGTGACAAAGCAGAAAACCTGTGCCAAGGCCCAGGGGCATGACAGTGCTGATATCAAAGAATCCCACGCATGTTTTTCACAGCTCTTAGAATAAAGTCATCGTGTCCTTACCATGATCTTCAGCTCAGCAGCCCCCTCTTGGCTCTCCATGCCATAGACTGGTCACTATCTTCTGGATCATGATCCACTCATGCTCGTTATTGTCAGTTTGGGAAACAGGCCTATATACTCATATTTCTCTCCTTGAAATTCCCTCCCTCTGGCCTTGCCACAGCCAATTTTTTCCTAGCCCATATATTTCTAGCTTAAATATCATTTCCTCATAGAGGTCTCCCTAGCCATCTCTAAACCAAGGGTCCCTATTTTTTACTAGAACCACATCTTGGGTTTTTTTTAACACCAACAATTACTGGTAATTATCATGTTAACATGTGCTTCTTGAGGTTTGGGGCTCTGTATTATTAGCAGCTAGACTTGTAGTAGCTAAATTGGTGTCAAACAGGGATAGCAACAGGCAATGAGATAGTTGAATGGATTAAGAGTTTTGGGTGGTTCAGCTGGGAGGGGAACGAGACAAAGTGGACGTGGGGAGCAGAAACCAGGCCACAGATGTTCTCTAGCGGATGCTCAGTGTGCTCCTTCTACTTCCCACCCCTGCCACCAGAGGAGGTTGACCTTTCATGTTCCATGGCAGTCCAGGCCAGGTATTACCTGCTTGGTCATTTAGCTGGTTATAGCTGAGATCCAGGGATTTCAGACCGGTATGGACCAGCAGGAGATCAGCAAGGTACTTGGCTGCCTGTTCTTCCAGGCCATTCCCTGCCAGCTTCATCTTCTGCACTGCCTGGTTCACTGTGAGGGCAGCACAAAGGGCCTGGACCCCTGGTGCTCCAAACTGGTTCTCCGACAGGTCAACATCTGGGGAACAGCACCACTCCTTGGTCAGTGGGAGCAAAAGGAAGCCACTTCCCTCCCACCACTTTCTCCATCTCCTAAAATTCCAGGCTGGAGGCAGAGGAAGAGGCTTTGTATTGGATAGTCCTGGGGTTACAGGGTAGCACCTTTGCTACCTGTTGGCTGGGTCCTCTTGGACCCCTGACTTCAACCTTCTTGTACCTTTATGAACTTCTCTGACAAGGGTTAAAACCACCTAGTTTGTGGTGCTGTGGGGAGGGGGAGTCATCCCACTGGTGCCTGGTGTCTGGCAGCGATATGATCTGCTCACAAGAGAGCCCTCTCTGCCCTATTGCCAGGGACTGGTAATACTAGTCCAAGTGGCCATCCAGAAGTACTTATGTGGGACCAAATACTCTGCTGACCTCTTCACATGTGCTGTTTCATTTAATGTTCACCACAATCCCAAGGGCTAAGTGGTATTGCTGGGGCCATCTCAGCGACTGGAAATGATCTTGGCAAAGTTGAGTTGGTTGTTCAGGTCAGTCTACTCTTCAGCAGCAGAGCTGGCATTTGGGTCCAACCTCACTAAATTCCCATGGTGTCCTCCCACCTCGCTGTCCATCCTATCTCTTTGCAAAGAAAGACTCTCCCAACCTGAATTCAGGTGCCGACTTTTACAAGTGTGTGTGTGTGTGTGTGTGTGTGTGTGTGTTTGTATGTGTGTCTGTCTGTATGTGCTCACCAGCAGAGCACGGAAGACATGTCAGGTTAGGAAAGGAGCAGAATCCAGCATTGGTCAGGATATGTAATGGGTCTAACTTCACCCCTATGTGCCCCACCCCATATCCCAGACATACTAGTTGGCCCCAAATCAGAAGGCCAGGTTTAGAGGAAGTGCATCTCTGGGGATAGGGAAGGCTCAAGCCTGCCCACTTGCCCCAGACTTAGCACCTACCAGATATGCTGCTGTTTTTGCTCAGGACATCTGCCAGGGCTTCTGCACCAGCCACACAGAGTCCATTGTCCCGAAGATCCAGTCGCTTGATATAAGGATTGGAGGTCAACATAGAAGCCAGAGCCTGAGCCCCCTGAGACAAAGCAGAAAATCCTGTAGTTTTGGTTCTTTCCAGGGCTGAGGACCCAGACACATCTGGCCACTTCCCTGGATTATGTTCCCAGGGCTCAGCCCACACATGTAACTTCCAAACAGAAAGCCTTCACTAGCCCCCATTCCCAAGGGGAAACCTGTATCTCCTGGGCTCTACCCAGAGCTCACCTCCCGGAGCTTTCTATAACCTTCCAGCACACTAGGAGCCTGCAGGTTTCCCAACCCTTATGATGATCTCTGTTGTGGCCTCTATGCTATTTCCCAGATGTGGGGAAGGGAATGCTGGCCCAGAAGGGAACACTAACAGTGAATGGAATGGACTCAAGGAGAGACACTCCCATGGCCACTATGTCCTGGGTCCTTCCTCTCCAAGCCAGGCTCCAGTGTCCTCCACAGATACCTGGGGTCCCAGGCCACGGTGCCGCAGGCTCAACTCTGCAGCATTTTCTTGGCGCAGAAAGCAGGAGACAGGCACAACATTAAAGGCCTGGCAAAACCCCAGGTAGAGGGTATCCTTGACCACTTCTCCAAGTCCAAGGGTACCTGGGAGGAGACAAGGAGACAAGTGTGGACTCCTTCACTGCCATATCCTCTGCCTCTTCACCTGACCTCTGTCACTATCTATCTTCTTTCTCCTCTAGAGGCACTTCTTGTATCATTGGGACTATTTCCACATTATTACAGATGAGGGTATCAAGGCTCACAGAAAGTAAATTCCTTCCCTAATTACACAGGAAGTCAGAGCCTGAGTTGGGACACTTCCTGTATGATGCTAAAATCCATGCTCTGTCTCCTGTCTCCCCATTACAGATAGCAATTTTTTGTTTGCTTTTTTGACATAGGGTCTCACTATGTAGATCAGGCTGACCTTGAACTAAAGAGATCCTCTTGCCTTAGCTTCCAAATTTCTGAGATCAGGCTTGTACCACCACACCCAGCCTGTGATGACAATGTTTTAATGAGCATTTTACCGAAAGAAAATCTTAAGTAATTCTAACTTCTATACATCCATTAGCTTAGATTTTCCTGCGGGTTAGGAAAACTCACCCCTGAACCTGTCTCAGGGTGGGACACCTCTTCCTACAGTTTGTTAGGGGATGTACTTAAGAGGCGTTCTGGAAATGTGTTCTTAATAGTGGAACTCCTGGTGCCTATAGGCATGGAGAGCACAGACATAAAGCGGCCACCGCTATTCCAAGGGTAACCCAAGGAAAAGCTCACGCCCCTTTCTGACACCCCTGCCCAGCATCCCTCAAGATAAGTCAAGCCTGACCCCCTACCGGGTACACCTTCTGTCTCAAAATCGGAGTCCGAATCTGCAACCGAGCCCTTTTCGGCCTCCGCAATCTCTGAAAAATCCCCAGCAGCCGCCTTCACTTCTTCCTCCGGTTCATTCTCTGCAGAATTCTCGCAAGGATCCTTCATAGCTACACCCATTTCGCAGTCTCCTACTCTGAAGCCTGGCGCCTCATATACGAAGCTGCTTGGAGGTGTGGGCGGACCCTCCTTCCTGAAAGACCAATAGAATGTCACTGTGCGCTCGCCCAGCCAATAAGATGTGCTTACGTCATGGTCTCCAGGGTAACTCGGTGTTGATGGTTGCCCCTGGAACGGCGGCTACTCTGTGGCTACCTTGAGCCAGCTGCTTGCCAGCACCGAGAGTGGGCGCCACTTGCACTGCGCAGGTCCTGACCTAGCCGGCGTTCATTTTTCCTCCTGCTCTGTAAACTTCCAACATTGCCCCATGTTCGCGACTGGGAAATACTCTGAGGATGGGGCACTGCTCTAGAAAGGTCAGAGGACCTTCAGAGTCACCTCACCTTGCTCTCTGAAACCTTACTCTCAGAGGAGCTCAGTTCTCTCTCATGCCTTTGCGATGTTCACCAGGACCGTCTCTCCCCAACTTTGTTTGCTGCACTTCAGAATCTGCAAATGTTAGCTCAGAGCCCATTTCTTCCTGAACCTTTCTTTAGGCCCTTTTGCGGGCTCCTACTGCCCGCACACAGGCCTCCCACAGCACTTGAAACTGCCCCCGTACAAGGAAGTGAAGCCAGAGGGCAAGAGGCAGCATTGTGTTGAGGGTCCGGCAGAGAGACTTTAGGGATTGGGACAAAAGGCAGGACAGCGAGAGGTTGGGACTGAGCCCAGAGCTAGAGTGGGGGTGCTGAATCTTTCCCTGAGTGGACGTGTCCCTTTAACAAAGGCTGGCCCAGCTCACTTGGGCGCTTCTTTGCCTCCTGTTTCAGCTGTGGTTGCAGCTGCTGTGCTGACTCATGCACTAGCAGCCAGCAGGAGCAGAAGCCCGAGCATGGGTTTTCTAGGAGCTGTGGCCAACTGGGGGCTTCTGGATTACAAAACAGAAAAGTATGTGCTGACCAGGAACTGGCGAGTGGGTGCCTTGCAAAGGCTGTTCCAGCTCGGAGTCGTGACCTATGTGGTGGGGTAAGGGCTCTTGGGAAGGGTGGTCAGAATGATCATGATTGGTTCTACTGGGCTGAGGATTGAGTGTCTGGCTTTTTACAGACCAGGCTGGTAGTGGTGGTGGTATAGTGCCAGGTAGTGGGGTGGGGGTAGACAGAAGGGCCTCTATTCATTCAAAGGCCAGTGGTATACACAAATAAGCCGTGTGCTTGTATTCCTATGTGCCTATCTGCCTCCTTTTTAAGGCCTTGTTGCCAGCCCTGTGTTGGGCTCTGGGCACAGAAGAGGCTAGTGGGGCAAGAAGTAGTAGTCTCTGACACTCTAGAGAGTTGGGTCACTGAGCCCCTGCCAGAGAGACCACCAGTTCTATCTGGGGGTCAGAGGAGTCTGTATAAGGACAGAGCTGGATCTATGGGGTAGGGCTTGGTTGTTGAAAGTGGTGGTTGTGGGTATTTCTGTCTGCGGGTGCTGGCTCCTTGGATGCCAAGCTGGCCTCTGGACTGTTCGGGGAGGTGAGGCTGGAGATGAAGCAGGGGCCCTCTGGCAGGCTGGAAGCATAGTGTGTGTGGGAGGGAGCTGATCTTGTAGGTGGCAGCCTGCTCTTCTACCACTCACTGTGTGCTAATCTCAACACACTGTACATCGCCTCTCTCCAGGTGGGCTCTCATTGCCAAAAAAGGCTACCAGGAATGGGACCTGGACCCTCAGATTTCTGTCATCACTAAACTCAAAGGGGTTTCTGTGACTCAGATCAAGGAGCTAGGGAACCGGCTGTGGGATGTGGCTGACTTCGTGAAGCCGCCGCAGGTGGGTCCCTGGTGCTGGTGCAGGGGGCACCCAACTTCACCTGCTGATGGCTCTGACAGCAAGCAGTCTTTGAGCAAATGTGTGCAAAAGAGGAGTGCAATGCCAGAAGGGCTTAGGGAGAAAGGTTGGAGAGATTTAGGAAGGGCTTCAAAGGAGAGTGGTCCCTGGACAGGGCTTTGAGGAATGAATAGGGAAGAGGTTTCTAGGCAGATAAAGAAATGGGAAACCAGGCTAGAGGAAATTCATTTTAAAAGATCATATCCAGGCCAGGTATGGTGATGGATGCCTGTAATCTCAACACTTAGGAGGCTGAGTCAGGAGGAATCACTGCAAATTCAAGGTCATCCTGAGCCATATAGTGAATACTGTCTCAAAAAACCAAAAATAATTAATTAAAAGACCACATCTGAAAAGAATTGGGATGTGTAGGACTCAAGGCTTGAGGTTGAATTTGGGGTGGGGGGGGATAGAGGTGTTTAGGGTCTAAAACTTCCTGAATTTTCCCTTTTACCCAGTGTACCACTATCAAGTGCTCTTCTGCTCTTTTAGGCTGTGTTCCTTCTCCCTCCACTCACCTGGCCCACAACCCCAGTCTCCAGCTCTGTGCTTCTGGTATCCAAATTGTAGCCTCACTGATCACCTGCCTAGAGAGGAGCTGCTTTCCATCCTGTTTAAGGAGAAATCATCTCCTTTTTCTGGAACCTTGGCTTCTTGTCCAATGAGGGCTGTGGCGTTCACCAGTGCAAAGCCAGAACCAGGATCCAACTTGACCCCTTCTTGTCCATTCCAACACTTTTTACTGCAGGTCCTGCAGGGGCCCTTTGACTCCTCTCCCTTGCTCCCTTCCCTAAGGTGCACACCACACAGTAGCCAGGCTGAGCCTTACAACTGACTTCATCAGAGCCTGCTAACTCCTGCTATCCATCCTTGGAAATCTCCCCTTCCATGATGGTGGCCACCAAGTCTCTCCCTTTCCAAATTTCACCGCCATACTTCACTGCTCTCTGCCAGCCTTACCTTCCCACCTCCAAATGTGTAGCACTGTCATGAGCAGCATTTTTCAATGTCTTTGGCCACTCGCTGATCACATGTAGAGCTTACTGTGTGCTGCCCCAGCCCCTGCTGTGCCAGGGCTTCTGTGCATGTGATGAGGGGTCCACGTCGCCTCAACTTGCCTCTAGCTCTTTTGTGCTTGGGACAAGAGGTTCATTGAGTCAATAAAAGTGAATGTGAGAATTAATTTGTGTCAAAGATGAACATGTACATGAGGCTCCTTGGACCCGAAACTACATGGGCATAGTGCCCAATACCTGTAACCCTAGCTATTTGGGAGACTGAGGCAGGAGGGCTGAAATTCAAGGCCAGCTTGGGCAACTAAAGTTGTAAAAGGAAGAGCTGGAGATTGGTTCAGTGCACCTTGGGCTCAGTCTCAGGAAAAAAGGGCCAGAAATTCAACGAGCCTCTCATTCTACTTCTACCCGCCTCATTAGATACGTTTCCTAGGAGACAGAGTTGGTGACAAGATGAGGCCAAGAAAACTTCCCTCACAAACTAGGCTTCTGGGAGGCTCTGGGTTTCATGGAACTGACCAAAACAAAATAAAACAAAAAACCTGGCAATCTGTTTCTGGCCTCTCCACTCGAAGGAACCTGCAGGGACCAACCTTGAGATTTACCTCCTAGGGAGAGAACGTGTTCTTCTTGGTGACCAATTTCCTTGTGACACCAACTCAAGTTCAGGGCAGATGTGCAGAGGTAAGTTTGCCTGGGAGCCTCCCAGGGGATTCATGCTTCCTTCCTTCAGCAGTCACAGCCCCACCTCCCTTTTCCTTCACAGGTGGCTGAAGGCTTGGCATGTGCTTTGTGCATCCCAGGCACCGGGCTACATCTTTCTGTAAATCACTTAGTCTTTACATAGACCCTTTCCCAGTAAAAATTGTGATTCCCACTGAAGAGGAGATGACTAGGGCTCAGTAAAGTTGAGTAACTTGCTCAAGGCCTCCAGGGCCTGTGGGTGACAGCACCTGGGCCCAAGTTTCCTTGAGATGTGGAGGGCTCCCTTCATCTTGGATCCACCTTTGGGTACTTTCCAGGTTGTCGGTGTGACACCTGAAGCAAGACTCATGTGGGCTCTAATAGCAAGAGGCAACAAGATGGGAGGTCACCTTCTCTTCTCTGTGCTGAGCCTCTACTACCAGCTTCCATTTTTGTGAGCAAACAGCACTCTTGCTTATAATTATGCTTATGTCTATATTGAAATATAGACCTGGACTAGGGTGGAAAGGGGGTAGCCTAAGATCTCAAGGACCCTGTGAGCCCTGCTCAGGAAGGAAGGCAGAAGAAAGCCACACATGGGTACTGGGATGGCCACTCTGTCTCTAGTACACTGGGATGGAGCACTCAGGCTGCCGGGTAGAGGTAGAGGGGGTGGTCACCATGGAGTCTAGTTGAAGGAGTTGTGACCAGGTTAGCCTGAGAAAGGACATTTTTAGACACAAATAAGGACTACAAATCAGGTGGCTCCACTCTGTCCTCTGGCTGCTGTTCACTAATCATATTTCTATCCTCCACAAAATCCTGTATCTCATCCAGAGTCCCTCAGTCCTTCTCAGACTCCTGTTGCTGTGTCCTTTTGGCTGCCCATGAACTGTGTGCCATGACAGTGGCGTGTCTGCGACAGTTTCCAAAAGTATAGACTGCTTTCCTTTCCAGTGTCCCAGAAAGCTTGCCCACCTTTGCCTCCTGTTTGTTTCCCATAGTGGTTGACTCTGTATAGACATGAAGAGAGAGAGCAGGGAAGGAACTAGCTTATGGTTCTCCTCAAAGTATGCGAGATCCTACTTCCCTACCTAGGCTTAGGGTCCTGCTGTTTGCTGGACACACCCTCTGGTCCCTGCCCTCTCATGCCAGAAATCATGAACTTATTGGGCAAGGCACCTTCTCCTTTCCTGTTCTGTTGTCTGAATTGAAGCTGAGGAGCCAGACCTTAGTCTTTTCCTTCCCTGCTGCCCCCTTTGGAGGAAACTGTCAGGAGCAAAGAGGTCTCACTCTGCCCTCGGAATACAGCACTATATTCCATCTGGCAACCCCACTGACCATCTCTACTTATTTGTACCCTCTAGCTTTCCCATGGGCTTCTAAACCTGGGTACCCTGGTGGCTAAAGCAGGGAGGATGGTATCTTTGTATACTGTAGGGCTGCATCCCTGGGCTGTTGGTGACTAGGGTCTCTTGTCCACTTCAGCACCCTTCTGTCCCACTGGCTAACTGCTGGGCTGACGAGGACTGCCCTGAAGGGGAGACCGGAACACACAGCCACGGTAACTGTGAGCAGCACTAGGACCCTGTATCTCTCTGTTCTACCAGTAAGCCCCAGCCCACACCCTCCCAGGCCCTGTGGGGATCTAGGGGCCTAGAGTTCATCTTGTGTTTTCAAGGCATAAAAACAGGTCAGTGTGTGGTGTTCAACGGCACCCATAGGACCTGTGAGATCCAGAGCTGGTGTCCAGTGGAGAATGGCACTGTGTCTACCACGTAAGTTTCCTCTCAAGCTCAGGGCAGGGCCCCAAATTGTGCAAAATTCTGGCAGTATACCCTCCACTTGCAGGAGGCCCCTGCTGATCCAGGCTGAGAATTTCACGCTGCTCATCAAAAACACCGTTACTTTCAGCAAGTTCAACTTCTCCAAGTAAGTGAGGCAGGTCCTGGCTGACCCAAGGTCCTTCAGGGTCTCCTGATTATCTAATCCTCACCCTTACCCCTCTCAGAACCAATTCTTTAGACACCTGGGATGCTACCTATTTCAAGCAGTGTCGCTATGATCCACTCTCCAGCCCTTACTGCCCTGTATTCCGCATCGGGGACCTTGTGACTGCAGCTGGAGGGGACTTTGAGGACCTAGCACTGACGGTAGGTCCTTGGGGTTCCTGAAGTGATCCGGGAGAGGGTTTTGGGTCCATTGGTGGAACATGAGATGTGTTGTGTGCAGGGTGGTGCTGTGAGCATCCGTGTCCACTGGGATTGTGATCTGGACACTGGGGGCTCTGACTGCTGGCCACACTACTCCTTCCAGTTGCAGGAGAGGAGCTACAACTTCAGGTGTGACCCCCCTGCTTTCTTGCTGTTCTTGGGCTTACATTCCTGTTGCCCATTTCCCTATGGCTGCCAAGATGAATCAAAACTGAGTCCTAGCCCTGTGCATGCTCCCGTGTGTGTCCTGGGGAATTTTCTTAGCCCTTTATCCTCCAGCACCGGTACCCTAATCCCAATCCATCTGTCCCTACTCCTTACCTAAAGCAGACTGCTCACCTCCAGACTCCAGGATAGTCTGTGCCCCTAACCACTTGGCCTCCAGCATCTCCCTTTCACAGCATAGGGGCTTTCATGGTTACTTTCTGCTTATAATTTTATCTAAAACTTTTCAAAGAAAATTTATAGAAAAGTTCAAAGAAAGCCAGGTGTGGTGGAACAGGTCTGTTATTTCAGCACTTTGGGAGTGCTTGCAATCCTATTTTGAGGCAGTAAGATGGCAAGTTTGAGCCCATCCCAGGAAAGTGACTTAATGAGATTTTATCTGAAGAAAAAAAAAAAAAAAACAGGAGGGGCTGGGGGATGTAGCTCAGTATGAAGATCCTGAGATTCAAAAAATATGAATGAATGAATGAAAAATTAGTACTGTGAATACCCATATACTCTTGCCCTGGGTTCATTACTTGTTACTGTTTTGCATTTGCTTTCTCTGTCTAGAGTGAGATAGATATATGTAGACAGATTGCAAATAAGAGCAGTTATGGGCTGGGTGGACCTCAGTGACAGAGCACTTGCCAACATTTACACAATCCTGGGTTCAATCTCCCACACCAAAACAAAAATAAAGAGGGAGAAAAAAGAAAGAAAGAAAGAAAGAAAGAAAGAAAGAAAGAAAGAAAGAAAGAAAGAAAGCTGTCCGAAAGAAAGCAGCAGACATGGGACACCCACTCTTCTTAACATTATCCTGAGATAAGAACCTTTTCCCATTTGACCACTATCCTAATGGCATACCCAAAAAATTAATATTGGCTGGGGCTGGGGATTTAGCTCAGCAGCATAAGCACCTGCCTTGTAAGTGTGCGGTCGTGAGTTCGATCCCTGGTACCAGTAAAAAAGAAAAAGACAAAAAAAAATTAATATTGGCAGATTAAACCTAATATTTGTATTTTTCCATATAGACCAATTGTGGTCCTAAATCTTTGTATTTTTCCAATCCAGGATGCACTCAAAGATCTTAAATTGCATTTATTGTCATGTCTTTAAATCTCCTAAGACATCCTGGGAACCTGCCACCTACCATCACCTTATACAAACCCCCATGTATGCATAGGGCTGCCATCAGGCCTGGGGATGATATAGGCATAGCTCGCTGAATCCTGCCAAATCTGGCTTTCCTTTTTTCCCAGCTCTTCACAACCTTGTGGTGCTGGCTCCCTGCCCTCACTGCTCCTCCCACCTGTGGGCCTTGGCTGGCGCTGCTTGCTCAGCCTGGACTTCCTTTAGGAACCCATCCATATGTTCCTTCTTCCGTTTCTAGGAGAGTGAATTCTTCCCTTGAGGCTCTCACAAGCCTCCTCCTTCCTTACCTCCAGCCTCCCTTTCTCCTCCCATCTCTTGTTGCTGCTCTGTATGTAGGGAGCCATCTGTCCCCGACCCCTCAGTAGGCAGGAAGCTCCTTTGACTCAGGTCCGGTGTGCTTTTTCCTTATATCCTTAGCAACTACTCAGGACCAAGATCCACGACTCAGGCTTGGGTAAGGGGTTTATGGAGTCAGTGGATAAGTAAGGCTGAAGCCCAGGAAAACCATCCCAGCCTGAGACTGGGCCCTTTCTCCTGCCCCCAGGACGGCCAGCCACTGGTGGGAGGCTCCAGGCGTGGAAGCTCGCAGTCTGCTTAAGCTCTACGGGATCCGCTTTGACATCCTTGTCACTGGGCAGGTAGGGATCGGGCCAGGGGAGAGGAGTATAGATAGGTGGGCCTGGAGGAAGTATATAGTGACAACTGTGGCCTGATAGGTTCATCCCAGCTCTCTCAGGCAGGAAAGTTCGGGCTCATCCCCACGGCCATCACAGTGGGCACTGGAGCAGCTTGGCTGGGTGTGGTGAGTCCGATAGCTCTCAGCTCCCTCAGGCTACGAGTGCCTGTCTGTCTGGCAAAGTACTCTATGACTGCAAATTGTGTCCTGGGGTGAGAGCTGGGGAAGTGGCAGGAGAGCAGGTTGGGGGTGGGACATAGCTTGACCTTGCCTCTTGCAGATCACCTTCCTCTGTGATCTGCTGCTGCTGTATGTGGACAGAGAAGCCCATTTCTACTGGAGGACAAAGTATGAGGAGGTGAGCTGCAAGTCTGCCTAGCCACTGGTTTTTGCCACACTTTGGGAGATTTCAGTCAGATCCCTGACCTGCTGTCTTTGTCTGCAGGCAAAAGCCCCAAAGGCGACTGCTAACCTTTCATGGACCAAGCCGGTTTTCACACCCACAACAAGTCCAGCTTTCCAGGTGCCTTAGATGGTGCCACCACCTGTCCTCACAACCTCTGTTTCTCGGTGCCTGACTTCAGTTCAAGGGTGCTCCTGTCTGGGCTTCAGCACCCACTTGCTGGCCTATTCCTGAGGTCTATAGCCACTCCATGTTTATTGGGGTTTGGGGAATGGGGATGGAAAAGGGTAGGGATCTTGGCTTAGGAACCTCAAGGATAGAGCCCTCAAAGGACTGGGATAAGAGTTGGAGGGAGAACTCTGCCCTTGAACTCCCAGGAAGACTGTCTCTCCTGGGTCTAGCCTTGGCAAGGTACTATCTTGGAAGATACAGAAACCAGTTTTGTGGCACAACATGAGCTATGGAGGTGAGTGAGCAGAGGCACCTGATTGCACCACAGTAGTGTTCAGCCTGTGAATTCCTGCCCTTCCCTGTGACAGCTCTTGGCTGTTACACAGTTGAGACAGAGAGGTATGGGCCTCAGTTGGTGGTCTTGAGTCTTCTGGTGTCTTCTCTATACTTCCTCGTAGTTCTTCCAGCCTAACCCCCTGGAAACTGACCACTAGGCTTCCTGAAGGCCCCAGGATAGAAAGCCCAAACATCTGGAACTTACTGCCTCCTAAGTCATACCTCTCTGGGTCCTCTAGGGACCTCTCTGACTATGCAGCCTAACCTGAGGCACACCAGAGACCCTGATCTTGATCTTAGGCAGAGTTCAGTGGCTACAAGGAATGTCTCTAATAAAGGATACTGAGGTTCCTCTGAAGGTTGGTCAGGTTCTGGTTCTATAATCCTCCTGGGAGCCTAAATCCTACCTGATAGAAATTTCTCTATGTCTTGGGACACACAGTAGCATGGGAGAGACAAGGCCGCAGGAACTAAACCCTCTCCTGGTTTCAGGGTGGGGCAGGGATTTGGGAGTACCCACCCCATGGAAGAAGTGAGAGGCTGCTTTCTCATGGTGGCCAGAGGCATGGTGGGAAGTGCTAGGGCTTGGGCTGAAGCTGGAATAGCATCTAGATCATCTGGCACTCACAGCCTCAATAAATCCTTTGAGGTCTCTGCTGCCCTTAACTCCTAAGGGTTTAATTTCCAGGGAAGTGGTCTCTAGAGGGCTAGGATGGGAAGTCATGGTCCAAAAGGCCTGGTTGTTGGAGGTTGTACCTGGTTGTCCTGGGGTTCAGAGAAAGGTGATGTCACTACTGGAGTAAAAGCTTGCCAAAGCCAGCAGCTTTCTATGTAGTCCTTACAGGGAAATGGGGAAGGGGAGGTGTCTGTAGTGGACACAGCACAGGCATGAGGACCCTAGCTGGGGGAGAATGCATCATGGGTCTAGGGCAGTGGTGGTGAACCTATAGCACACATTCTGCAGTGGGCACGCAGACCCTTTTCTGTCAGCACACAGTCAAGTCACCCCAGCATCTCCCCAGCAGCCAAGCATCAGTTAACAGTCAACACAGGGCCAGTGTTGGCACTTTCCAATGAATAAGTGGGTTTTGAGTTGCAGTATGGGCACTCAGTCTCTAAAATGTTCACCATCACTGGACAAGGGCTTATCCAGGAATTCCCTCATTCCTATATTGGGGATACCAAGTGGGCCAGAAGACAGTAGGCGCAGGCCCAAGGCACTTGTGCACTCATGCACAACTGTGTACCAGTCACATGTGCACCATCTCAGCCATTACCTCAAACCCTGGCAGGGTGGGCACAGACAAAAAGAAAATGAACCCAGACTTTGTTACAGGTGTCACCTCAGTCTGGACATGACTGTGTATCCACAGGGTAGAGTGTGGGTTATGCAGGCAAGTGCCTGAGGGTATTTGTGTGTCACATGTCTGTACAAATGTACCTCAGTGTTCTGGGGGCAGGCTTCAAGCACACACTGTCCTCTGGGGGCCTATTTCTTTTTCCAGGCAACCTTCTCATGGTATAGGCTCTGCTCCTTTGATCTACCTGATAAGGACATTTGGGGAGCCTCTTCTGACCCTCACCATGGTCCACTCCCCCTTCATCTGGTGTATGTAGCTCCCCTCTAATCTAGTCAGAAGGCACATTTCCTAAGGAAGGAGCTCAGACCCAGGACTGGCCATGTGGGTGATCCCAGAGCTAACTTTGCAGAACTTCAGCACCTTTGCTGCAGATTGGGGACAACCACCTGATTCCTAGGGGACAGGTAAGAACTCAGGGTCATAAAAAATGCCACTGTGGACATAGTGGTTGCCCATATGGCTGGCCAAGCAGTTATTATTGTGGATCCCTGCAGCTGCAACCCCTTCCCTCCCACCCTACCCTACCTGTTCAGTAGCTGGAGTTGGTCATACAAAGGAAAGTGCTGAGCAAACAGTCCACTGCATTAGTGCTGGTCGAGGTCCATTCCCTGAAGACCAGAAGCTCAGTACCTGGCATACAGTCCTAAGATCCTGAGACCTTCCCAACCTGGGCAGCTGTACACCTAAACTGCCCTGGATAAGAAGTGGCTCCTAGCTCCACTGGCCTCTCGAGGTGGGGGAGGGCAGAAGAATGACTTGGCTCAGACTCTCCACTACTCCATGCTGTTAGGTCCTTGGGCTGGTTCCTGGCTCACAGGCTGCACAGGCTGCACTGTCTCTTCCAGGCTGCCGCTGGGGAATACCACATAGCGTGTGGTGGTAGTCAGCCCCGGTGGTGGCTCCTGCTGGTTCTGTTTGCTGTGCCTGATGCCATAGCCGAAATACACAGCAAGTCCTGCAGGGGTGGTGATGAGCCTGAGAGGAGGTCCCAGCCTTGCCTACTGTCTTTTCCCCACCTTGCATGCACCCAGGGTGCTAGCCTGGCCCCTACTCACCAATCAGGAGCCAGATGGCAAAGCGCATCCACGTCAGGTAGCTCAGTTTCAGCATGAGGCAGATATTGAGGAGGATGCTCAGGGCTGGAGTCAGGGGCACCAAGGGGATCTGAGGGTGCAAGGGCAAGGCTGAACTCAGCTGTAGGAAAGAGCTGCCAGCCCAGGGCCTGACTTCACAAAAATTTCAGTCTCTCTTTGCTCTGGAGCTGTTGAAGACAACTTCCCTCAACATGCAGAAAGACAGATGGGCATGAGAATGGGTGAATGGGCCTCCCCAATGCCATGGACCTTTATTTGTTATGGGATGGAAGAGGAAGAGGCAAAGGGAGCTGGCTGGGCTGAGAATGAGCAAGGTTTGCTGGAAAGGTACCTGGAAAGTGTCTTGCCGGTGCTGTTGCTGATGAGCCCCCAGGACCAGGAGGCTGAGCAGAAATACCACACCACTAATAAGGAGCAGCAGGATGTAGCCCCACCGTGATAGGTATAGTACTGAGTCCCCAAAGGCCAGCACACAGTCCACCATGATAGCTGAGGCTACCAGGATGCCAAGTGCCCAAGTTACAGCAGTTCCAGGGCTGAGCCCTCCCAGGAAGCCGAGGTAGGGCTTCAGGGCTGGTCGCAGCTGCCCAGGTTCAGAGACTGAGGCCTGCACAGCACCCACTAGCTGTATATGGTCTGAGAAGGAGTCATACTTCTTGTCTGTGAGGTCAGGGCTGGCTGGGCCTGGTGAGCTGGGTGGAGATGACTTCTGGAAGCGCAACACAATGATGCTGGCAGCCACAAAGGTATAGGCCAGCAGAGTGCCGATGGACAGAAACTGGACTAGTGCCTCTAGGTCCAACAGCAGTGCCAGGAGTGCCATGAGGACCCCAAACACCAGAATGCCCATCACAGGCACCTGTGTTCGGGGGTGCACATGGGCAAACACCTGGAAGAAGAGCCCATCAGCGGCCATGGCATAGACGATGCGTGGCAAGGAGAAGAGGTTGCTGAGTAGGACGGTGTTCATGGCTGCAGCAAAGGGTAGGGGAACTATGAGCATGGTAAATAAGCCCATCATGGGCTGCTAGTGGGGCTGGGACATGGGTGGCTATGGGCATCAGTTTGTCAGGGATCTCAGTATGAGTATGTGTGGGGTACTGGATTGTCACTCGATCATTCAGGTCTGAGGCATTGCAGTTAGGATACGGGCCCATTGGGGAATCTGATGAAGCTGAGTCCTGCAGTCTAGGAAAGGACCTATAAGAACATGCCCAGAACTGATGTTCTATATACAACTTGAGAGTGGGGTCCTTTCTAACAAACTTGGGTGGAAAGTCTTAAAAATTAGCACTTTCCTGGGCCCATTATGTAACTGGTAACACTGAGGCCTGGAAGGAGGTGTGTTTTCTAAGAGGCTCAGGGAAGGACCACAATGCACTGTTCCCTCCCACCCTGCCTTGGAAGGGCCTCTTACCACAGATGGAGCCAGCTGCCACGATGAAGCCAGCCCAGTTATAGCCCCGCCGGTAGAAAGCATCAGCAAGTGCAGAGTCAGGGTCCAGGCTGTGCCAGGGCACCATGAGGGTCAGCACAGTAGAGACAAGGATATAGGCACCTGCTGCCAGGCCAAGGGAGATTGCGATGGCGATGGGCACAGCCCTTCGGGGGTTCTGGGCCTCCTCACTGGAGGCAGCAATGACATCAAAGCCCACAAAGGCATAGAAGCAGGTGGCAGTGCCTGCCATGATGCCAGAGAAGCCAAAAGGTGCAAAGCCACCCTCCTTAGCACTCCAGTTTTGGGGGTGGGCCAGGATGAAGCCCAGAATGATGATAAAGAGAATGACAATCAGGCTGATGGCTGAGAAGGTGTGGTTGAGCCAGGAGGAGACTCGGGCTCCACAGGAGACAAAGGCAGAAGCCACGAGTAGGATGCCAGCAGCCAGGAAATCTGGGTATTGGGCCAAAAAGGGGACATGCCAGACACCCACTTGAGACTCGGTGAGGTTTCGAATCCTGTGGCTAAAGATGGCATCCAGGTAGCCACTCCAGGCACGGGCCACTGCGGCGCCCCCGATGAGGTATTCCAGGAGCACATTCCAGCCTATTAGGAAGGCCCACACCTCCCCCATAGACACATAGGTGAATAGGTATGCAGAACCTGTGCGGGGCACTCGTGCTCCAAATTCTGCGTAGCACAGGGCTGCCAAAAGGGAGGCCACCGCGGCCAGGCCAAAGGACAAAAGCACAGCAGGGCCAGCCATGTCCTTGGCCACAGTGCCTGTGAGCACATAGAGGCCTGAGCCCACCATGCCACCCACACCCAGCAGGGTCAGATCCAGTGTGGACAGGCAGCGCCTCAGGGATGTCTCCATGCTGGACTCCTCCAGCGGCTTCAGTCGGTTCAGCTTCTGGCAGAAGCGTGCCAGGCTGGCAGCACTGGGCAGTCCTCGGGCCATGACGGGTGGCTAAGAAGAGTACCAAGCCAGCAGCTGGAACCTCCTACGACCAGACAGAGGGGACTGACAGGCTATCCAGACGGGTCCCAACCAGCTTTAGCCTCATCCTGAATCATACCAGTCTCCTCTTAGGGACCCTGAATACCTATGAGGAGGGCCTGATGTAGGGCTGGACTGGGGCAGGAGGTCACAGAGAAGCACGGAGGTCCTGTCTGCCTTCAGGAGAACCAGCTAGGTGGCCCTGAGGGTGGGGAGAAGCTAGCTCCTGAAAGCAAGAGAGGCTGGTAACAGCTTAATGGTCTAGATCCAAGAAAAAGATGAAATGCGGGGAGGTTTCCAAGGAACTGGGCCAGGCCTGCAGGACCCGGAACACAAGCGGCTCGGTAGCTCGGGGCGTGGCCTAAGAGGCCACCTGGCCTGGAAGGGTAGCAATCACCCGGCTGCTGCCAGGCGGCCGTCTCTGCTCACCTGGTCTCCAGGCAGGGGCGCCCTGGCCCTAAGCCCGGATCTGCAGCCAAAACCTATGTACCTCCCCTGTGCACCCAACATATCACCAAAGCCGGCCGAGCTAGCTCCTCTGCGACCCTGTCCCCAGTTACCCGAGCCTTAGGCTGTTTTCCGGGCCGGAACCCGTCCCCTGCAAGACCCGCTGCGACCCACCTGCTGTCTCCACTGCAGCAACCACGGCTCTGAGCGCTGTGCCCGCCCCGCCCGGTAGCACCGCCTGCGTGCAGCGCCTGCTCCCGCCCCCAGGCGCGCTGGATCCGGCACAGGCTGCACAGCTAGCGTCGCCTGCATGGTCTAGTAAAGCGTCCCACACTCTGGCCGCACACCCAGATAACCACCTTGCACAAACCTCCCATGTCCCCAGGAGCTTAATGGGCTCTAAAGTAGCCCCATCATTGGGACTAATTCACAGATGAGGAAGCGCCCTTCACTGGGGGCCAGATTAAGGTCCAGGTCTGGTGATAACCGAACCCAGTCTGCTTCCCCGCAGCAGATACCCTCCTTGATCCCCACACAAACACGTGAACCCCACCCAGACAAGCACTATCCAGGCCCTCAACACAGGGTAACTGGGGTCGGTGAGATGAGTGGATGGGTCTTGGTTGGTGGTGCTGGGCAATCCCTGGCTTCTTAACTACAATGGGATGTCAATGACCCACATATTGGTAAAAGAGTGCAATCTTATGGGAATTTTCTGTGAATTGGCAGAATTCACACTGGTTGCTCTGAGCCTGCAGCTATAAGATAATGTCTTGTAAACAGCCTACTGCAACCATCAGCAGTCTTCCAATGGAGGTGCACACCTAGAGCTCCTAAGAACACCTGGCAGGCCTTGCAGGACCCCAGGAGACCCTAAGAACAATTCCCACTCCAGAGATGCATATGTACTGAGTATTTCACCCCTGTGCCATCCCCATACCATGAGGAAGCCCATTTTCCACAACATGACCATCACAGATTCCCCTCAGGTTATTTCTGAGGCAGAGGGTGTCATTTTTCCTCCTCCTCACTTTGAAAGTTGGTGTGATAGGATGTTAACTTGTTCATAGCAAATTGACAACACAGACAAGCTAAGAAAAATCAAAGCAGACTCTCCCCATAACTTTCTGTTTCCAGGTTTCCAGCTGATTCATGGAATTCGATTTTAGGGGCACCTGCAGTTTGGGGAGCTAGTGACAGGATAGTCGACTCCCAGATGAGTTGGTGCTACGTGGAGCTCTATTTTAGCCAGCCCCTTTCGTCTCTTTTGATAAGTGGCTGATGTTATCATGGGGAACTTCTAGGATAGACTCCTACTTCCTATGGAGCATAGCTCTTGCTCCACCCCTGTGCTGCCTAAATATAACTAAGCAGATGTCTCTGGTCCTGAAATGCCTCCACAGAAAGTCTAGAAAAATGCATTTTGGACCAAAAAACTTAAACAATTTTATAATGGAATTTCCTCCAAGGCTTTACCAACTACCACTTCAGATATGAAATATTTTGGAACTCTGTCATTAATTGGCCAGAGAAGGTATCTCACTACACTCCCTGTCACTAGCACCAATACACTTCTAGACATTCAAGGCCAACTGTGATTGTGACATAATCATGACATTGAGGTCACTGTAGGGATGATGATGGGAGACTTCTGAGCCTTAGTGTTTTATTCACTGAAAGTAGGATTTGTATTTTCTTCTATGACAGGGACTTAAAAGACATTTTTGCAAACAAAAAAGTCCAATAACAACAACAAAATGCTTCATTGGGGCCTACAGACATTTAGTATGTTATTAAAAACAGACAACAGTTGACCTTCAATTTGTATCCTACTTGTTTTGTTCCTTGAATCCACCATTGGTAGCGTAAGATTTTATTTTTTATTAGTATATGTCTGGATATATAATAATCATATTCACCTGGGAGAATTGGCATAGATATATAAATCTTAATCACTTTTATTTCCCCTTTCCCTCTGTACCCGCTCATCTCCTGCTATCCCCAAATTCCTGTGGGTCAAATCCCTTCTCAGCTCTGGATGTTGAAAAGTTGGGAAACAAAGTTGATTAGCTCTGAATTTAAATTTTTAGATTTATTTATTGGTTTTTTAAGACTGAGTTTCACTGTATGACCCAGGCTGGTGTTGAATTTGCAGTGATTTTCCTGCCTCAGCCTATAATCCAGAGTGCTGGGATTATAGGCATGCACCACCACCACCACCTCCATGCTTAGTACCCTGAATATATATTAATCTCATCTTCCTGCAAGACTGAGAATACCAAGATAATAGATTTACAGGGATATTCAACTAGCCCCAAATGCTCCAGCCATTGTTATAAACCTGTGATTTCCTGGATTTCAAGAAAAGCAGAGTTCCACATGACTGGAATTACCACAAAAAAGTTTCCTGAAACTAGTACAACCCTTCAAACTATGAGGGTTCCTCTTACGGGAACCAAATTGCCTCTTAAATTATCAGGATTCAACCTAAGCTATAAAGCCAGGATTGAGATAATAATCAACTGAATCCTGACCCACCTCAGTTAATCTTAGCCCTCAGCAGGTGTGGTGGAGTTTGGGATGCTGAGGCATGAGGACTGTTGTGAGTTTGAGGCCAACCTAGGCCACATAGTAAGTTCAGGGCCAGTCTGAACTACATAGAGAAATATTATCTTAAAAAAAAAAAAAAAGACAAACCAAAAATCCCCAAATAACTCAAAACCCTAAAACCAACCTCCTGTGTTGGGCATGGTATCGCATACCTATGATTTAGCACTCAGGAGGCTGAGGCAGAAAAGTTTGAGGTGTTCAAGGCCAGCCTGGGAGTTTGAGGCCAGCCTGGCCTACACAGTCAGTCCAAGGCCAGCTTCCATTAAGTAGTGAGACCTTGTTTCAATAAACAAAAACAAAAATAAAACAAAACAAAATGAAACAAAGAGACAAAAATTGGCCTCCTGAGCTGGGTACTGTAATTTCCAGTGCCCTGGAAGGCTGAGTCAGTAGGATGGCAAGTTTGAGCCTAGCCTTGGCAGTTTAACAACTTAGCTAGACCCTGTCTCAAAAATAAAAGTGTCTGGGGGAAGAGGCTAGGGATATAGCTCAGTGCAAAAGCCCTGGGTACACTTCCTAGTACAGGAAAAAAAAAAAAAAAAAAAAAAAAACTATCCATAGTGTAGCACGAATCCAGCATGGATCCAAAATAAGGTGGTCTGCATGGAAGTAAGCAATGTGTAGACTCCTTCCTCTGGCCCACAGCCACCCTGGCTGACAGCTGCAGCTATTACAGGCTCAGGACAATTTATGCCTAGTGGAGGGGCTGTAGGACCTGGGTCTTCCTGACTTGGAGTGAGTGCAGTGGTTTCCTGCTGCCAAATTTAAGAAGTTTGGCCCAGAAGATAAAGCCTGGGCTTTTGTCAGGAACTCTGTGAGCCTAGATGGTTCAGAGAGGCAGAAAAATACACAAGAATCATAGGTGAAAGCCAGTAAGTGGCTCTGGGACCCCATCCCCCACCCCATTAAATGTCTGTTTTCCTTTTAGTTTGGGGGACAGCAACTCACTATGTAGTTCAGAGAAGCCTAGGCTGACCACAAATTTGTGTTGATCCTCCTGCCTCAGCCTCTTGAGTACTGGGATTACAGGTATGTACCACCCTGCGCAGCTAAATGTCCATCTTAAACTGATGATATGTACTATTTGCTCAGCTTCATTTGACATACATTGATATCATAAGTTCCTAATAAGTTACTAATTATATCATAAGTTCCTCTCTATGCTTACTGTGCACAGTGATTACATTCATTGTGAGGAGCTGGTACGTGTGCATAACGCATCTTAATTCATTTTAATTCTCCTTCCCTTCTCCTCCCTCCATCTTTTGGTCTCCTTCCCATTTGCAGAAGATCTAGTTTCCTATTATCTTTCTTTTATTTTGCTTTTTAAATTATTTATATGTTGGGTTTTTCATACAAAAGACACATGTGATATTTGAGCTTGACTTCCTAAAGGTCCAAACACAAAGCTGAGTGCAAAGCACGTGAGACAGAATAGTCAGGCCCTTCCATTAGCAAGTGCACATTTTCTTATGTAAGAGACTCACATTGTCTACACTGATGCTTCCTGCTCCAGGAGTAGGTGAGAGGGCAGGAACAGGATTCAATGTTGAATAGGGGCCAGGCCATGCTTCAAATGTAGGCATTAGACTTTCCTGATGACAGACAGAGTAGAAATCCACGAAACCTGTAAAGCCATTGAATAAGCAAAGGCTCTATCATGACTAAATTGGTTCTATACCTGGACAGTATGTTTACTATAAATGGGGTTACCAGCTGGGTCCTGGGGTGGAAGAAAAATGAGTGGAGAACAGGAAAAGAAGAGATTAACAAGAAGGACTGTGGAGTTGGAGAGGCTCACCCAAGGCATGGATGTTAAGTGGATGCATGTTCCAGCCATCTGGGATTCATGGGTAATGAAGAAGCCAATAGATTGTCGAGAGAAGGAGCTAAGCAGTCTGAGATGTTCCTGAGGATTTGAGCGGGTAGCTGTTGTTATTTTTACTCTCCAGTGTAGACAGTAAGGCCCCGGCATGGGATGATGCAGTAGACGGGCAGACAGAGCTTTCCAGCTGAGACAGCAAGGCCCCATGGTGCCTTGTGACAAAGCTTGATAAAAAGTACTTAAATGAATCAGAAGGTGAACATCTTTGAGATTTAGTAATTCTGTGAGGTTTCTGCATTACACTTATTATTAGGCATGATACTATTCTCTTGTTTTATTAAAGTTCAGGCAAAATGGTTAGGCTTTTATCTAAAGAAGGAATCAATAAAAATAAAACAGTGGTGTTGGATGTAGTGATACATACCTGTAATTCCTGCACTTGGGGAAGCAGAGGCAAGAGGAACACAGTTTGAGCCCAGTGTGGGCAATTTAGCAAGATACTGTCTCCTAGATAAATAAATAGGAGTAAGGACGTGGCTCAGTGCAAAAGCTCTGGGTTTAACCGCCAGTTCTGCAAAAATAAATAAAATATTAATAAAAAGACATAAACTAATCTAGAAATACTCTGAAAGAGTTCATTTGACCTCCAATTTGCAATACTGAGTCTCCTGCCTTGCAGCTAACTCATGCCCGTGAACACATTAGGGGAAAATGCAGCCTGCTACCCGGCTGCTACTTGCAGGGAGAATGTGAGCCA